ACAAAATCGTTACAACTACCAAGCAGCCTTGGACCTCGTAGCTATTGCTAGCAAAATACGCCCCCACCGCCACATAATACAAAGCATCAACTAAAGTTTGTCAAAGAGAGTATTGCGTCGTTGTTGGGGACCATCAAACAAAATTGCACCAACGTTTGCAACAACTACGAACATCTGTTTTATGGAGTTAGGGCCAACCGATGGTAACTAGCGAGTAGAAGTGGCAGAATGTTATCGCCCGACAAGCCTTGCCTTCGTTTCAACCCCCCACTGTCACGGCTGGCAGCAACAGTACACTGTTAAGAACTATGCGTAGCATGCACTTGGAGGGACGGGGTGCTGCGGCCATCTCTGAGGGGAATCAATTTCCATGGGTCGCCATCGTTCCTGTTAAATGCGAGCCTCACGTCCCCTAAGGGGTCGTTGTTGGAGACGAACTTCTTGTAGCCGTCCACCCAGACGGGGCTCTTGGCCCAGGTTTTTCTGGTAGAGTTCACCGTGAACCAGTAAGTGGTGTTGAACGCAACATCAATAGGGGGCTTGGGGGTCCATTGGTATTTGTATTTGGCCCCATCGACGGGGTCACTGATGGAGATGAACCCAAAGGCGATTGACTCGGTGCAATGGGGAAGGTCTAGAAGAAAGACTCTCGTGAATATATATTGGTTTGCACAACTATTAGGGGGTTGAACAACTATTAGGGGGATGAGTGTATAAATGGGGCGTTGGTTACCGTTGACGGATGGGCACAACTCTGGTCGAAACCACATCGACGGGTGGGAGGGAACTCTTTCAAATTCCAACGGTTCGACGGTAAAGTTGAAAGAATTCAGGGTCAGAGTTGAGGTGGCTCTAACACCGGGAGCGTTGTCATGAGCTCCTGATAACGCCTGGGTGCGGAATCGAACCGCCCATGTTATCTCTGAGGCGATGCGGAAGCCGTGATGGCTTAGTCCAGTGATGGATGGGGGGTTGTCAAACGCCACTTTAGACGCAGCGGCGTCGGCGGCGACGGCGGCGTGGACGAGAGCAGCAAGGAACTTCATGGCAATAAGTGAAATCGAGAAATGAAGAAGGGGCAGACATCGTCCTTTGTTTGGGTATTTTATAATACCGGTACAACGAAGAATTCAACGACCAAGCCATACGATACTCGTTGAATGTTTCTGGGTACTTCCGTTATGGATGGATTATTTGAAAGGTCCGACCATACTTAGAGCATCTCCAACGGGGGTTTCTATATCGATGTCCCTATCACCAAAACCTGTTACAATAGTGGTACCATCGAAGTTACGGATAATTTGGGGATCCGGGTCTTTTTGTCCCCATTTCGCTCGGACGTCCCAATAACATTTTGGGGACATCCCCATAATTTGGGGACAAAATCGCCCGGATAAGCCCCAAATTATCCGCAATGTAACATGAAAAAACGGTACAACCGAAGTTTTGAGATATAGAGTTGGGATAGGGACCCGCGTTGGAGATGCCCTTATACTAACTAGTATGCGACTAATCCGATTGAGTAGCATTGATGTGCTAGATCGAATGAAATCGCTTTAGATTTAAGTTAACCCAATCAAAATCCATAGGTTTAGGAAAGTATTCACAGTCAGAATTGGTCGGTCGGACCTTTTTTCAGTTATGTGTAAGTTAGCTTATCATTATGGTGTAGACGGCTTGGTAAACTGCGAGGCATTTGTTGTAGTATTTGCCATGCCATTCTACCCCCATTATTTATATCTTGATTTAAGTATACTGGGGGTTATCTATATATACTGACGGCTATACCGGTATGACCACTCGACTCGCTAAAGAGAAGGTCGATCTTGGACATTAACTTGAAATGCGACAAACTGTCTGTCATCGAGTACTGTATGGCTTATGGTTACTGTAGTCATCGAGTATTCAATGGCTTATGGTTATTATACAATACTCGATGACAGACAGTACGCTTCAACGTTATGGCACTTGTCGCATGTCAAGTTAATGTCCAGATCGACCTTCAATTACTCGTTTCTATGTAAACTACAAAATACTTTCTGAACTACAGTACCGGAACAGTGCACGAAGAGAATTCACGACTTCAAATGTTGTGAATCACACGATGGTTGGTGTATGCAGTATGGATGTAGTGGGCGTAATATTTTGGTGCATGAATGTGAATAAGTTCGAAGATTTGGGATGTTTCGTTGATACTGAAACGTTTTCTTGTGCACTAATCCGATTGTGTAGCATTGATGTGCTAGATCGACCTGCTTATTCCTGAAATTAAGGACTACTCCGAGTACCGTATAGGTAACAATAACTACCCTGCCTTTTTTCGGTCATGGTAGCTCGAGAAAGACCCGCCAAAAAATCCCAAAGCAGTTATTCGGCCCGATATTATATTTGATGTTCATATAGTATACAAATATTAGGCTTAATTTAAACTTTATTAAAGTATACTATAACAATGCTCTAATGTCCGAAAACATATGCGAGGACATATGGCATCATACCATACACCGTATGGTTTTCAATAATATATTTTGTATGTCGATACAAAATTCAAGAAGTCAAATATTAAGAAAGATTTCCACGAAGTTCACAAGGAAGGCATCTGTAGCTCATTGTCAATGGAGGTTTAT